GAGTTGGCGAAGTCGAAATTCTTCAAAACATTAACTCAGGCCCACAAGCGCACCAAAGCTTGCTGGCTGCTGTATAAAATCCTACTCTCGAGGCTGGGTGTTTCTCTATCCTCACTTACTTTATCATACCAACAAAAATGACCACAAAGATGTTTATGGGTCTGGCGTTGCAATTAAAAGTTAATCTGCCCTTTTAATGTCTGCTTCTGATGGTCGGATCGAAAACTGTAGTTTCCCAGGACATGTTGTTGCTTCCTCCAAACCACTAGAAAGGAAGCACATGGTCGAAATGAGAGTACTGAACTTCGCCACGAGGAGGTTCAAATTCCCGCTCCCTTCCATAAAAATACCGTCGAAACCACTCTATGTCGGAAGCAACTGTATGCCACGGCTTCAGTCGTCAATTTCGCCTTTTGGGCCGCCGATGTACACTCCATCAAAGTGCATCATGTGTATGTCTCAAGGTTTAACGCTTGCCCGAAGAGTTTGAGGAGTATAAAAGACCACAAAGCGCATGTCAAAATCAGCTATGCAGACCAAGTCTCCTTCATCCTCAAGCTTTTTAAAATCCCAACCAAACGAAACCATGTGTTCTTCCTTCCCGAGCACCAAAAACGGCTATAGTGGCTCTCATGGAGTCAGAAAGATTGGTTAGCTGCGGATAGTGTCGAAGGCCCGTCTCATAACTTTTCAAGGCTACCTCTTTGGTACGGTCCTCCAATACATGTGATGATTCGTCATCTATACTATGAACATACATACCCACAACGACCGCCCTTTCGAACATAATGTATCTCATACGCGACAGTCCATCCGCCCGTCTACTCAACAACCCCAACAACCTTAACATCATCCGCCCTCCACTTCCTCATCGGCACCTTCCCCAACTCCCCTCTCAACCTCTCCCGATCCCCCCAAACCTCCTCCCCAACCTCTTCCCTGCTCAACCATGCCCAATCCCCCTTGAGTACACCCACCCCATACCTCCCATACTCCTCTCCGACCTTCAACAACCTCGTATCCGAGCCCCAAATCCCCGCTTCTTCTGGATCAGAAATCAGGGTATAACTCCTCTCATGCACAGTCTCGCTGTTCTCGAAAACGAGGACTTCAGTCTCGTTGGGCGGGAAAGGGTCGGTTTCGCCCTCTACGTCTGCGTCTGGCGGACTGTAGCCTTTCGTTGGGCCGCGCTTCTTTCCGGTTTTGAGGTCCCGGAGTTCGACGCTGGCTTTGTTGCGGCCGTGGGGGATGGAGCGTAGGACGGCGATGCCTTTTGTGTTGGCGATTTCGGTGCGGGTGGGATCCAGGTGCCAGGCGAGGGTGATGGTGCAGGGTGGGTTGCCTGAAACGGAGATTGTGTCCGTGGAGGTGAGAATGGTTGGGCGGATAGGCGGAGGCGAGGGCACTGTGGCGAGGGCCTTGAAGGTGTAGCTAGGTAGCGGCGGAGATGGTTGCGGTATGTCTTCTGTTTCCGGCTCGGGTAAATTGGATGGGTCATGATGCTCACCAGCGTACCACGCCGTGATGCCATGAGACCGGAGACGGATGGTATACGACTTCCCCGCTACGAGCGATGATGGATCGAACGTATAGGGCATGGGATTTGAAACCGTAGTGCCTGGACGAGTCGACCACATGATATAGCTGTCGAGCCTTTCGGGATCTAGTATGAGAAGTCGTTGTACAATGTCTTGAGTACCAGTCTTGGAGGGCACGTAATCCACTTTTTCACCAGTTTCTGCGTCGACGATTTCGAACAGGCCTTTTGAAAAGACCGCCTCAGGATCAAAGATGGTGTTTTCGGTGTCGATGGTGAATTTAGAGTGGTGGTCGACATTGCGTACAAGCGTGATGTCGAAAGTATCGGTGCAGTCAACGTAGCAGAATGCACTGGTGTAGAGTGTGAAATTTATAGAAGGAGCCATGGTAAGAATTGCAATAATGCAGGCGACTCCTCGCTGTTAGAGTTCTCAGTTTGCTGGTGCAGCCGCGATGAATATAAGAAGTGATGTGTCGGTGGTTCTGTCTTACCATACCCAGGTGATAGTGTGACGTCAACGGCGCTAATCTCAGGTTGGCCCCCGGTGTCACCAACCCGCCCCAGGCCTTGTTCTCGTCCGTCGCACCGAACATGTATAATAATACTTCGCATTCCGCCCCTTGATAAAACATTCTCGAGGGCCTAAGGCACAATTCAGATCCTCGTGGGTCGAGGTGACGACACAGCCATCGTGAACTGTCACCTGACTACCTAGGTACGCGCCATACTGTAGCTGTAGCTATACACTTACTGGGGTTTCAGTGCTGCTTATGTCCCGAGGATTACGTTGAGCCGAGTTTTGAGGCTACATGGTAAGTCAACAGATAAGCCACCCCAAGACGAAGCCAGTTCTTTGTACAAGAGGGGGCCACAGATCCTTCTGCCTTGAACACTATGTTCTTTTGCGATCGAAATGAAACAATGACGCCCGTCTGTACCGAGCGACTGCTGTGGGTTGGAGTTTGAAGACGCCCTGTGCGTTCCCCAAGCCACAGCCACTTAGCCCCAGGAGAGGCACCAGACACATCGACATGACGTTGTATTATCCGTTCCTCCGTCTCTCCATCAATCATCTTCTACAGCCCCACGGTACATGTCTCGATCACTCGTCATAGCTATGTTCCGAGAGCAGTTATCCAAGACACCCGAGATTCCTGCACGTACACGGAAAGTCCAAGTCTCCGAAATACCAAAGATGGCCCCAAATTTCTGAGGTAAGGCGGTGTTATACTGTTCACTCAGGCGTACTCTGGGGTCTGTGAAGGTTGCATGTTGTTGACATCCCATATCCCCGAGTCAAGATGGCCCCAATGGATATGTATAAAGCATTGGTGTTCTGGACACTGAGATTTTAATCATACAAACCGACCGACTCCTACCAAGCTCAACTGCCTTCTATCACTACGAGCATGTATCTCAATCTAAGCCTACTTGCCACAGCGCTCTCAGTCATTCGAATCACCTCGGCTAAGCCCATCGATGGGTAAGTCACACTCCTGTCATATCTGGTGATCATACCGGACTGACCTCTTGTAGGAAACTCCACGTCGTGAAGCGGGAAGACCCCGTGTCCTACCCTTATGGCGACGCACTCCCCAACGAATTCCAGTGGCTGGGCTGGGATTCTGAGGACGAAGATCAAAAGAAAGACGGACAGAAGATACACGAAGCGTTCAAACAATGGGTACGTAATTTTTCACACAGCTTTTTCAACTCTTGTTTTCATTCTACAATGAGCGTATCGCTAAGATGTCTTGAATATCTAGGCAGATCTGGCCAAAGCAGGCGTTACGGCCGTCCAAGGGGCTCCCGACAATGTGCACTTCAAACGCTTCTTTGGTACCCAAGGTGGGGCCGACACCACAGCCATTCAGAATACCATGGCAAACATGTACGACAACACAGCAAACACGGCCACAGAAACCATAAAGAAAATGGTGCTACACCGTAAGGACTTTGGCGACCATTGTGTCAAAGATGGCTGGTTTGCCTACACGGATGCCCCGACTGGCAAGTTTCACATATGCCCCAAAGGCATTGCTATGAAGCAAAACTCGGATGTTCAATGCGCGGACTTCAAGCGAGACTGGATCACCTTCACGGCTAGGACGCTGCCTTTCGCGATGCTACACGAGTTCACGCACTACGACTTTGTGACTGACGACAGGATTGGCCTGATGGAGGATCACGCTCAAACTTCCTACGATTGCTTCAAGCTGGACGATGAAGAAAAGCAGTCGAATGCCCAGAATTACGCGTTCAATGCTGCAGTAAGTCTCGCTTTCCATCAACCCAACATTCCCATGCTAAGAGAGACCCCTAGGAGCAATACTGGTCCGATAAATGTCCAGACAAGGACTTCAAGGACCCTCAGTATGTCGCACCATCACCATCACCAACTCCCACGCCCACGCCCACGCCCACACCTACGCCCACACCCGAACCCGAACCCGTAGCCCCCTACGCCGACCAACCAGGCCAATGCCACATCCACGTCAACGAGTACGAAACCTGCGACTCTCACGACGAAAACCTCAGCGTCGAAATAACCATGTGGGACGTTTCCGGCGCCCAAATCGGCTACGTCGACCGGACCGTCGCCGGAGCCGGAAACCCACTCTTGATGAAGAGCAAGCTAGAAAACACGCTCGAGGTAACGCCGGAGAACCAGAAGGATTACATCCAATTCACGCTGGGCGGGCAGTCATGGGCGACGAACAAGGATAACGATGAGAGTGCGCCGGCGTATTGTAAGGTTGGGGGCTGGGACCCAAGGGCTGGGCCGTTGTGTAATGAGTTTGATAGTGGTACGGCTCAGGAGTCCAAGAGGCAGATGGATTGTTACTTTCAGTGTCCTTGGGGTGGTGGGGCGACGTCTGATGGATCTTGAGACTTTCGTAGGAAGGAAGGGCAAGATATACTAGATGTTTGCGTGGAGACGGGCTGCGTTCCTGTCGGAAGAGGGAAAATGGACACTCTTTTTGTATGGCGTGGAGGAGAAGGATTTCGGTTAGTAACAGCACACAATCATAAAGTAACGGAATGTACAATATATCCTCGATTTCTCACACGTCTCACGTAACACATCTGATCCCATCATCACCACCCGATCTATCGACTACGCATACAAAAGCAGACGAAAACGCTCATGAAAACAAAAAAACAAACAGGGGTATCTCAAGGCTCAGACGATATGCAACAAGGACGTTAGAACGCGTCGCTCCCACCGACCGTAACGCCTTGTGTCAGTCAGGGTCGTCTTCTCACGAGCCGGTGAAGAGATGCCAGACAACTGTAGAAACAGGTAGCAAACTCCACAAAACGCCTCAAATGCCGCATGTAAAACACGTAAAGAAAGTTAGTTCGTGATCAGCCACCTGGCATGTTGAGTGCCATCAAGTGGCAGACCTAGAGGTGGGGGCTGTTAGCGGGGATGGCGTGCGAAGAAGATGCAGAGAGCTCAAAGCTCCATCCTCTCAATGATGCCCTCGCTCATCGTCCGTATCTTACTCACGGCCCTCTCTCGGTCGACCAGTGACTCAACGTCGCTGTCGTCATCGCTCTCGTAGTACTCGGCGTCCATGCTCATGTCTCTGGCTGGCAGGTACCGCTGTTGTTCTGCATCGACGACATCGCCAGGGTGATCAATGACCATATTGTCAAGCTCATCACTGTCTCCATATGCCTCAAGTCCCTTCCTAGCACGATCACCGAGCCAGTATTCCGCGCGCTTCCTACTGCCCGCATTCGCACTGGACTCGTACTTCGATGCTTTGAACTTGGACATGAGCGACATGGCGACACTTGGTGAGTTCGACAAAGCCGATATTCCGCGGAGGTAGAAGTATGCAACTCGCTTGCGCTCCTTGTTGTACAGGAAGAAGTGGTGACTCCAAATCGCACCGTCATCAGCAAAGGGGTCATCTGACGGCTCCCATGCATAGTATTCACAGCTCGACATGTCCATCTCCGTATCGAGCAGGTGCCAACTTCGCGGACTCCATATCGGCGACCCAAGCGGTGTGACTGCGCCTGCTGGTAGTCCGGCGGAGTACACTTGCGGGCGGAGATAGTACATTGTAGTGTCGATCTTGTGCATGAAGCTGTGGATGGTCTCGCGACGGAACTCGTCGGGGTTCAGCGTGTTCGCGAAGTCGTAATCGATGTGTGTAGCATTGAGCGTCGCGATGAGGTATGCGAAGGTGTGACGGTTTGCTGCTTCGCTGAAGGATCCAAACGGCGTGTCTCGGGAGATGTCGAGTTGGTCTGCGAACTGAGCGGCAGACTGCTCGGACAGCCCCGCGACCGCTGATAGCAGGTCCTTGTGCCGCTCCTCGAGCGTCCTCTCGATGCGCTTGTACAACTTCTTGTCGCTTCCCGCTGCTTTAATCGTCCAGAGATCGCATCCGCCGATGATTGCTGTGTCTTGTGTATCGAAGTTGAGGGCGAGGTTGACCTCGTGGAGGGCGCACAAATCGAGGTACTACGGTGCCACCGGGTCAGCTATGTCGTCACTCTGGCCTTATCGCATCGAGCACTTACCTTCATTACGCTTGATGTGGACTCGCTTGGGCTGAGTGCCTATTATAGAATATATCGCGTATGATCCGAAATCTTCGAGATACGGTATGATTCAGCGCGCCGTGGCTGCTGGGCGTGGGTGTGGCGGTGGTCGGGAGGGGGTAGCCTGCGCGAACCGATACAACAAGTAAACACGACTCTAGGCTGGCTGCGGAGAGGAGAGGGTACTGTCGTTCGGCCAGACGATCGTCTAGCAGGCAGTGGACATATGTATGGCTTGGGCGTGGTAGTGGTGTGAGATGTCGGTGTCGCTGTAACGACGTGGTCGCGATTGCGGAGAAGGTCAGCTTGGCGGTGTCGCCGAGCTAACAGCGGCATGTGTGTCGGGTCGTCCTTCCTAATTGGTCGATGCGCAACCTGCCTCTCAACCAACAACAGCTGGCGATAAGAGTGGATGGGTCGGCGACTGGTGTTGAGTGTTGATGTTAGTTGTATGCGGCCATGCCGAGTGTGTCTGGTACGCGGGGCATGTCATCTGATGGTCGAGCACGTGAAGGATAGAAGATGCCTGGAGATGAATCCACGTGAATTCGGCAACGTATCATTTGATGAATGCATGTCAAGGTTCTGGATGAAGGACCAAACGCTGATCCGAACCAATTGCTGTCACGAAGTGCAGGTGCGCAGTGTCTCGGCGGTGTGGAGACCTGTAGCTAGATGAATAAGGTAAGTGTACCAGCATGAGGAAAAAGAAAAAAAGGGAGAGAGAGTCGTCAAGTCTATCAGGGTGAAGTCTCGATATCATGATGTGTGATCACGTTCGAGCCCTTGAACCGCTTGTGTCAAACCTAGCTGTGTCGAGCAAGCCCGCCAGTCCGAGGTGTATGAATTGTAGTAGATAGAGTACAGCTACCGCCATCCGCTCTACAAGGCAGGATGGCAGGTAGTGCGTTCTCCAGATGATCCAACCCCTGCGCCGTGTGATATCGTTTCGCTCTTGACGCCTGCCCTTGGAAAGTTGTTTAGCATGAGCCGTGTTGTGACAGTCGACTGTGTGCCGTAGCCCTACCCCAAACTCCAATAACGCCGTACAATGTGTGTTCGTATGCGGATGCCGGATCGGGTCTACAAGATGCCGCTCTCTCGAAGTCGGCCTTTGAATTCATCCGCGTTCTGGAAGCCATCAGGCGCGGTCAGTGGGAACTCTTGGGACGGCGATGACGGAGGGCCAGAAGGTGAGGTGCGACAGTGCGTTCCGTACACTTTTACATAATCTTGGTAACGATATCGTCCTCAGCCTGACGACAGGGCGCGTCAGCCAGCTGGCGCTATGGGTGCGTGCGGCGAAACAGACCCGAAAGTCATCACACCTCACTCACCTCCATATCTTCGAGGCTGTCTTGCTGTCCGATACACCGTAGCACGTTCTTCTTGCTGCTCTCTTGCATCTCACCGGCAAGCAGTAGCTCGTCCAGGATGAAGTAGGCCTTTTGGAAGTTGAAGATGATGTCGAGCTCGCAGACGTTGCCGTAGTACTTGTCCATCTGCTCGACGTAGCGGTGGACGATTTCGAGCGTGATCAGCTCATTGTCGGTCGAGTCGCAGCCGGCGATGAAGAACAGCGAGGCATATCGGCGATATACGATCTTGGTGTCTGGAGAAAGTGTGAGCTAGCGAAGCTCTTACCCCTGCCGGACCCACTGACCTTTGTACTCTAGGAAGTTGCACATGCGGGTGCGGCGGGCGAGGACAAGTTGCGAGACGTCTTTGACAATCTTGGCCTTGTCCTTGGGGGCGAGGGTGGTGAACCACTTGGCTAGGCGCTGCGAGCTTCAGCAAGGGACTTTGGATTCTAGGGTGAGGGACCAACCACTTTGCCCTGCCGGGACAGCAGAATGAGGTACCTGAGCTGTTAGCACTATAGTTCGTTATGGGCAGTGTAGTGGAGTGCATCTTACTTGATCGTCATGGTGTCGTGTGAGGAGAAGATGGCGGTAGCTTGTGTCTGGCGCAATGGGGAAAGATGTTAGGTTCGGCGATCGGCGGTCACAGGCCAGCCCCGCGACTTTGAGACGCCAATGCGCCCTCATGTCCCCGCTATCACCATCTCAGTCTCGACAATAGACGTTTGCGCGCAAGCAATTCTGCTCTTAGCCCATTCCTACTAATCATTGCCTAAAGCCTTGCGATACAAAATAACTGCGCTACTGCACATCCGACGCGACTGCTATCCTAAGACGACCCACCCGCTGACAAACGTTCACCCTTCATCGGCAACTCGATTACCCCCGAAGAGTCACCACCACACAATATAGGAGGCTCTTTCGTCAGAACTGTTCTATCTCGCGTGATAATTGCGCAATAAGATTGATCGCCATCATGAAGCTCGTACTATCTACCTCGTATGTCTCTCCATCTCTCCAAATGGCTTACCTAACAACCCAGAAATACCATGTCCGGTGGTCCTTCCGTGATAAGACGACCCTTCTTCGAGAAATCAAACACCGAACTCACCTCTTCCCTGCGCGCAAACTTCGCTGCCCACCAACCCTCTCCAACACCCTCAAAACCCGACTACACAACATGGACCACCAAGACCGACTCCGCCCTATACGTACCCACGCACACGCCCTCACCTCTGACCGAACCCCGAGAATCCTACGACATCACAGTCAAACTGTTCTACCTCCCCAACATACCGACAGACAGACGCTGCGCACAAACACGAGAAGCGATAGAACTAGTGCTGAAAGAGCTGGGCACATCCTCGATAGACCTCCTCATCGTCAGCTTCCCAGGCGTATCCTTCGACGCCGACGATGAAGATTCCGATCTCGATGATGACGACGAACCGCCCTCGCCCCCCTCCGCAACACAATCTACAACCGAAAACACCACCGGCGACTGCCCCGATGCCGGCGCCCCACCAGAAGACATAGAAACCATGGTAACGACATGGCGATCGCTCGAGAAACTGCACGCAGAAGGTCTGGTATCGAAACTGGGCATCGCAGAATTTGGCGTCGCGCGCCTGACCAAGTTCCTCGAACAGACCAAGATAAAACCAAGTGTGAATCAGATCAACGTGCGGGATTGCTGTGTCGTACCCAAGCCGTTGATACTGTATGCGAAGCAACAGCAAATCGAGCTGCTGACACATAACGATTGCACCAACATCTTACCACGCGGCACGCTACGGCAAATACTTGGTTCGGGAGAGAACGGGTCCGGCGTTTTGGCAGGAGAAGGAAATCAAGATGGGCTTAAGGGCGATGTAGAGCCGCAGTGGGTAGTCAAATACACGGCTGTTGTCAAAGACAGAGGCGTCGTAGAAAGTAAAGGCTACTTTGCTGTTGCGGAACTGAGAGATTCATAAGCATGCGAAGAAAAGGAATCACTCAAATCGAAATACAATGTTCAGATGACTTTGGCCAAGACAATATGATTATACAAATATCAGGTGTCCACACACTACACGATCCTCGCCCATAAGCAACCACCAACTAACTGCTGTCTCTATTACGGGAACGGCGCAAGCGCTCCGCATACTTTACAGTTCAGCAATTCTCCAAGGCGTCCCAGATTCGCAGCGATCAGTGGCTTACCGCACTTCTTGCATTTTGCTAGGTCGAAGCCACAGTTGTCTGCCTTGGGGCATGTTGACGGTGACTGCGCTGGTGCGCTTGCGCCGGCCCTGCCTGTCTTTTCGTTGAAGTTGTTCATCGTAGATCGTATGGGTGTTTGGTATGTGCGATAGATGTTTGCTTGTATGTGTGTATGTGTCTTTGGTAGTCGGCGTTTGGTCGAGTTGTCTTCGTGTGTGCTAATTCGGGTGGTGGTGGGAGGAAGGTTTTGGAGGGTATTTGCTAAATAGAATATGACCATTCACCATGTAAACCCATACTGTGCACTTCACTGCTAGTACTCTACAGCGTTGTCGAACATCAGCATGGGTCTCCTAGAAGACTCTTGAACATTCGTCTTCAACTTATGGACGCTGCTCGTTCATGGAATTGAATTGACGCTAGGCTTCACCACAGCATGAGGCTTCTTCAACAGACTGGAGTGCTACGTACGCGACTGGTGAGTACCTTGACAGTGAAGTGTATATGCAGCTATTCGCTGGACTTTCAGCTTCACGAAGCCTCCACTGTGAATACATGACTGCATCACAAAACCCACATACATAAGCTTTTCGGTAGCCCGTCATGCCGCCCCCCCATATCTCCAATCTACCCCAACCAATATACCGTGCACGTAGCATATCTTGACCTTCAATGTCCACCCAAACCAACCCTCCAACCAACCCTCCAACCAAACAGTCCGCCAACACTGCACCAACCACCTCATACGAACACGAGCAGACCTCAGATTCCGAAACCGACCTTCTCATCCCTTACGTCTCCGATGACGAGGACGACGAAGATGGAGAAAAAGACTCCCAAAACGAAACTGGATCTTTCGGTCACTGCTGGCACTGCGATGCACCCTTACCTCTGCCCACCTCGGATGAAACCAACGTCAACTGTCTCGAATGTCAGTTTCCGAACTAATTCGCGCGGCGGACAAACGACTAATCTGGCTAGGTTATCGATGCGGCGGCTGGTTGGGTCCACCTTGAGTGGAAGGACAGAAAGGATGAAGTGGGATGTGGCGTTGAATATTGAGCTTGTGTCGCTCTAGAACAAATGGTACAACATAGATGTAACAAAGAACGCATCTTCCCGAATACATGTCCATCGCTATTGTAGTCTCGTGTAGTTTAATGTCTCTCGTTATTTTCATGTATCAATGCAAAGGCATTCTACGTATCGCTCCATGAGCCAGATCACTCTAGCAGTGATATCCACTTCTCATCCAGTCGGTGCCATGATAGTATGTGGGTAGACTAGTTCAGTTGTTTCAACCTCCAGTAGTTCCTAACCGAGATATGTGTATTTACTCTGGTGAAAGCGAGGAGAACGCGGCCACTCCCATGCACACATCCGTGCATGGCTGCTCAACATGTTCTCAAACGATACTAGCAT